TATCTTGAAGTTTTCAGTTTTACACAGCTGGCGTATATATATATCAATTCGATATTGTTCTGCGAGTTGTTTTGTCGTAATTTATAGAATTTCGTGCTAGGTGCTGATATTAATTTGAACTTCAAAATTCCATAGACTATGACAATGAACCCGGGAAACATTATCGATCCAATATTTTAGATTATCCATTTCAAATTTCAAAGTCTAGAATTGTTTGGGCTCTCATCAGTTAAAAAGTTAGAAGGCATTCATGGAATGTCTCCTTTTTAAGCTTCTAATACCTTCAATGGCCAAAATACAAAAAGCTTTTCTCAAAAAAGTATTTAAATGCAAGATAAAAATAGGTATTTTTTATTTTGTATTTACATTTTAAACGCAATTATTTCAAATAAATCACGTCTCTGTATATGACCAATGTGTACCCATATAATAATAAATAATTTTACAGTTAAAAAAGTTTTAAAACCAGCATTTGTTATTATTTTGCATCTAGATTTTAAGTCATCATCAAAATGATTTGAAAAAGGTCACTAATAATAATGATTTTCACGGAAAATACTTTGCATAAATACCTTGATACGTAATTATGTGAGAGTGCTTGTTCTGCAGTGTATCTTTTGTAAGGATTGAACACCAATAATTTCAGTACAAGCTCTAGTCCATCGTTTACCACGTTTGGTCCCAATACTGCCTTTATGGTCGTGTGTTTGATGGCTGTGGCATTTTTTATCATCGAGGTACCAACCCCCGATACACATATTGCGCTGATATCTACAAATTTTCAAAATTTCCAATTTCAAAATAAGAAAAATCTTCTTTAAATTTTTTGACCAACCTTCGGATGAAGGTGACTCTATCGTCGACATTATTCGTTCTACTTGATTTACTGTGGAAGTTCCAGGGAAAATTGGTTTTCCCAAAAGCATTTCCCCTAAAATGCATCCTATACTCCACATATCTATACCCTTAGTGTAACTGCAATTTTTATAACATATTTGTTACTGTTTGTCGACTAATTTAGATAATGAAGTTACAATAATTTTAATTTTTTATGAAATACTTCTAGTAGAAAAAAATCAGATTTTAATAGATTAACAAAATTATAATTAGATTTTAAGATTTTATTTAAGTGAAAACTAGAAAGATCAAAAACTGATGAAATTGAAATAAAAAACATAGAACAGAGCAAAATAGTACAATTTTAATCAAAAGAATTGATTTTACACATAAATAATGACTTTAATTATTTTTAGTTAAAAGTTAATAATTAATTAACAGTTTGATTTGTTATAAAAAACGAATTCGTGTTATTTTGTTATATCAATATTTTATTAGACTGCAAAGCACGGTACACGTGTTACAATTCCTGAATATTTATTGATTTTATTTAAATTTGTGCGTTTCTAAAATGCGTAAATTTGTACTACGTTCGGTTTCTACAGAATAATAACTTCAAACAATTTCCAAATTGTCAACAAACACGGAATGTAGTTTGCACTTGATTTGGGACTTTAATCCTTATTTCCGACATTTCACAAGGTACTTAACTTTATAAGTTAAAACATCAAGAATTTATACGCTATAAATCCGGATGTAAACAAAAATCAGTGTTTATAAATGATTTTCTTTTGTTTTAACGACATCTGGAGCATACAATTTCCTTAGCCGACTTATATTATTTATATACATATATAATTCTTAAAGAGTTTTTTCCTTTGTTTCGAAATTTCATCCTAAATGTTTTAAACAATTGTTATAAAATATTCCAAATTTAATGAATAATTATTCATTTATTTAAACAGTATTTGTTAATAGACACTCGAGCTCTGCATAATGTAAGTCACGTACGAATTACGTATGCTAGGCCATCGTATATTGTGAACAAACTAAACCTTCGCTTATAGAAACGAATGTCCATTGATCTTAAAAATCGATATTTTGCCGTTGCTATTGAGTTATTGCTGTAAATCCGCGATATATTAGACACTTTCCCAGTCGTATTCGCTAGGATGATGTTGTTTTATTTGTGTAGTCAACTTTTTTCCGAAACAAACATTTTTATTTGGGAAAAATGTAGTCCATTCTCAATAATAAAAGAATTAAGAAACAGTTGTAGAAATTTAATGTGCGTAAATACAGTCAAACTCTCTTAAAACGTCAAATGCAACCAATTATCTACGCGAGTTAAAGAAATTTTCTGGTTTACCGCCAACTTTTTAATTTTCCATTCGAAGACATTGTTTCTTCATATATTACTTGCTGTTGTTAAACAATATTCGAAATCTCCAGTTATAGAAGTTGGAATTACAGAAATTCCATTATTATATTAAAATGTTTGTACGTAGGAACATGAAATAATTATATGGTAAAAAGTTATAATTTTCACCCAAATAGATCACCCTTCTATATATCCTAATAAATATTATAGAGGTACAGAAAAGGACATAGNTACACACATTGTCAGAGGTACAGAAAAGGACATAGGGTAATTTTTTATCCTGAAAAGAAATATTGCTTCCGAGGGATAAAAAAATTGGTTTTATGTGGCCGTCGATGATCTTTTGGCACGCAGTTAGGGCATTAACAAATCTATTAAACCTATCAAAAATTTTGTAAGCACATTGTTAGGGGTATAAAAAAAGCGTAGAGTACCTTTTTTCCAAAAAGAAAATACTGTTACCGAGGGATAAAAAAATTAATTTTGTTAGTCGTCGATGATATTTGACGCACAGTTAGCACATTAACGCGAGCGAGGCCATGAAATTTTGTACCCTTTGCAGCCACCCCCTTTAGTTTATATTTTTGAGCGCTACTAATACTGTGTATTTCTTGTTTTTTTTCCCTACTATCTTGCGCGTAATTATCACGTCGAGAAACTAAGTAAAAAAATGATTTATCGCAATTGAACTAATGATTTTTTTATTACTGTTTTACGTAGGCATTTATTGCAATTTTAACGAGTGTGTAAACGTATAGGTTTATTTTGTTGATAGTTTTGCTTTTGTTGGTTCACACTCTATGGAGTATCTGCTGTATAGAATCATTATTTGTAAAAAATTACGTATTCGAATTACACTGTAATGCAACACCCTGTATATGTTTGTAAGACTACATGCAGTATCTATGTTCGATCAAAATTTAATTAAAAAAAATCAATATTGCGCTTACTTTCTGTTTGCAATTAGTATTTCTGGGGCTCTGTACCATCGCGTGGCAACATAATCAGTCAACGTAGGATCCGTGTTATCAGGACTATTTTCGGAACATTGGGTCAAAGACCTGGCCAGGCCAAAATCCGCTAATTTGCATCTAAAACAATTGCAACTTTTAAAAATTCTTTTTTTTTTTTTTAATAAACTATGCAACTAACAATACACCGTCATTATACAAGATGCAATCGAAAAGTTTCGTACGCACCGTCAAAGTAGACTGACATTTGAAAAATTACCTGCACATGCTGTCTAAGAGAACATTGCTTGGCTTTAAATCCCTGTGAATTACATCTCCAGAATGTATATATTTGATTGCTTTGAGTAATTGGTACATTATATAACGTTTGTGAATATCCTTAAGGATATTCCCTCTTTTAATGACATTATGCAGGTCTGTTTCCATATATTCAAAACCTAAATATATGTCTCTATTATTGGCAGCTCTAAAAAAAAGTACGAACCCTATACAACTACAAATTTTACTTTATTTTGCTAGGTGCTTAGTTTGAAAACATACCGAATTAAATTAAAAAAGTACGTACCTACCTATGTATACTGCGTAGTCGAATTATATTTGGATGATCTTTGAATGATCTCAGAAACATAATTTCCCTGAATGTTCGTTGCGCGTCAGTCTGATTGCGAAAAGCATCAAAAATTTTTTTCACAGCCACTACATCTTTAGTTTTACGATCAATAGCTTTCCATACTATTCCATAAGCCCCCTTCCCGAGTCTCTTTTGAATATCAAACTTTTTTAAAATATGTTCGTCAATTTCGGGCATTTTATCTTTTGGTTGTGCCATACTTTTTGGTGCACCTCTGTATACAGAACTTTGTTACAAAAGTTTAAAAGTTCACTGGGAGTCGCTGTGTAAAACATCGATAAAATGTAACATTCATCACTCAAAAATCGTCAAAAATTACCAAATTATTGTTCACGGCAATTTAGTAAATTGTTTTTATTGATAGAGGCTTTCTTTGATAAAAAAAAGGGATGCGAACTCGAGTACAATCGGGGTAGAAATACCTATTGGGTTAAAACGTTACAAGTGCATGCTTGACTTGTTTGGAATTGATTTTATAATTAAAAATAATATTCTTGTTTATTCCTGACGTTTTAAATTTCTTTTTGTTGCTATAGGATACAACGGGGAACAAAACTGATAGAATTTTCTTTTCGGTCTGTAGTCCTTTTACACCAATCGGTTAAATAGTTCATTTGTCTTTATTTACATTTTAAACGTCAAATTGACAGTTCCAAAATAGATAGGTTTGGTTAGTTTTTGTAATTAAAAACCGTTTAAAAGCAATTTATCTAATAGTTTTGCAATTAATTAATTGTTTAACATGATGTACTCCGATAGTGATGAAGATTTAGAATCTCGAAATAGAAAAACCGTATTGGAAGGTCGTGAAATTTTAGAGAGAACAGGACAAAGTTTAGCTCGCTCAGAACATGTAGCAATCGAAACTGAAAATATAGGTACACAAGTTGTTTCTGATTTAAGTGAGCAACGAGAAACACTATTAAGAGCAAAGAGTAGACTTACAAATGCAGATGAGCAACTTGATAGTACACGAAACATTTTACGAAGAATGGGGCGGAATGTGCTCTATAATAAATTAATACTGATATTAATTATTATTTTGGAAATTTTAATTTTAGCTTCTCTATCTTATTTAAAATTTAAAAAATAGTATTCCCTAAATAGTTTCTAAGTAAAAATTCCTAATCCAAATGTAAGCATTTGCCTTTCTATACATATGTATAATAGAAATAATGTTACATTTTCTTTTCAATTTTATACCTGTAAATATTATATACATTGTACTATTAAAATATATAAATTTTTATTATCTCCAAAGAAACACAATATCTTTTTATTATTATTGGTCATTTAATTAATTGAACTGTCAAAAAAATCAAATTTAAAGCATACACTGACAGTAAATAAGTCCAGATATTACAAAAAAAAAATTAAAATTAACAGTATGAAGTTTCTTCAAAATATGGGTCTTTTTCTGGTTTCGGTTGTAATAATATCGCTGTTATCAATTTCGTTTAGCGAAAATGTTCTGGAATTGAGCGAAAATAATTTTGAAAGAACCCTTGATAACTTTAAATATGTGATGGTTAAATTTTACTCTCCAGAATGTACAAATTGCAAGGCTTTAAACCCTGTATATCAAGAAATTGCCCGTAAAATTAACGATATTGATCTTGCTAGCCCTGTTAAATTAGCAGAGGTGGATGCCACTCATGAACTATCATTAACTCAGAAATTTAAAGTTGCGTCATATCCATCGTTACTACTTTTTGAAAAAGGATCTTTGAAAGGCGAATATAAAGGAACTATGGATCCATCGGAAATTTTAAATTGGCTGTTAAAACAAACACAATAAATGAAATAATCTCATGCCGAAAAATCCTTAAATTAATCGAATTAATATAAATGTAAATAAAAAATTAATTAAGAATAAATAATGTAATTCTTATCTTTAGTTTTACTCGCATTCGTTTCGGATAGGCCGTTTTATGATATAGAATTCAAGGAACAATTATTAGACATTAATAAAACTACTCTTTTATTGTCTCGCCCAATTAAAACTTCACTCTGTATATATAGATTCTTTTTGTCATTTTCTGTCATTGTATCATCAAAATTTCTGTTTTCCTTTACAAAAACTATTTTTTTTTTTTAATGATGAGGCGTAACAATTTGCTCTTGTTTTTTGTTTCTTTATTAGCAGTTTTTATCGGTGTGATTATTTGTGACGACACAAGTATTTTAGAATTAGACCGGGATAGTTTTCAAGCTACACTCAGAGAAAATAAGTTTGTTCTCGTGAATTTTTATGCACCATGGTGCAAATATTGCAGAGATTTTAATCCGACATATCAGGCAACTGCTCGTAAATTAGAGGAACTAGGTAGCAGTATAAGATTGGCTAAGGTGGATGCAACGATAGAAAGGCCTCTTGCTAATCAGTACAACATAAAGGGTTACCCTACCCTTGTATTTTTCAAAAATGGGGTGCCAAGTGACCAATATGGTGGAATACGAACCCAAAAAGGTATCGTTACATGGCTACTGAAAAAAGCTGACCCATATAGCAAGGAATAAGATTTTATGCGATGGATTTTAAACGAAAAAAAAAAAAACAGGATTGGAAAGAAATCTGAAAGATACTAATCGTAAGAAAATTTTAGAATATTATCTTTATTTTACGAGGTTTGTCGGCTTTGAAAGAAAACGCAAAAAATCATATTTAACTTTGTACTTTGTCAATATCTGTCATTTCAGTATCTAGTAAAATTTACTGTGTCCTTTCATTACAAATTTTATTAAAGAAACTTAAAAATAATGAATTTTACGAAATCCCTCAGTCTAACACTTCTACTGATTGCATCAGCGTATTGTATAATAGTCACAGCTTATTATGACGATGAAGTAATAGAACTTACTGATAGAAACTTTCAATTAGCAGTCAAAAGTTACCGGTATCTTGTGGTAAACTTTTACGATTCAAACTGCAAGTTTTGTCGCGCTTTAAGTCCTGTATATGGTATTGCTGCGCATAAACTTAAAGAGTTAGGATCTGGAGTTAAACTTGCGAAAGTCGACGGACTTATTCAAAAGTCAGTTGCTTCGAAATACGACGTTAAGGGTTATCCTACCCTTATATTTTTCAAAACTGGTTTCCCCATAGAATTATATGGCGGTTCGCGAAAAACAACCGATATTTTTGGCTGGCTTCTCAGTAAAGCAACTAATTATTAATTTGAAACAGTTTGCAATATTATCACTTTGAACATGTAAAAGTTTTTGTAAGTTCATTAAAAGAATGAGTAAACATCTGCAAGGAACATTGAAAACTTCCTTACTGTTTTCATTAATTATTGTTTTTAGTGCAAAATAGAAACTATTTTTGAGGAAATATTATATTCAGCTGATGGATTATAATGATTACACATGAAATAAAGCAACAAACATTCTTTTCTCATCATTTTTATAAAAATGGTAAAAATGTAAGTAGAACTATTCCATAAAATAATCAAGAGTAATTAAGCAAATACGTATAAACATATGCAGTTATGAATGAGATATGAAATATTCATTCATAAAATGAAAATTACCCATTCGTACATCTTGATTAATATATTCAACAAAATAGGAAAATTTATTCGACTATAATTTATAAATATTTAACTTTACTACGGCTGTTTAGCACAAAATGACTTTAAAATGCACATGTAGAGTGAAAAGATTTGGAAACTTTGAAGTCAAATTATATTTTCTCGAGCGTTTCACCTCAAGAAACTGCTATTAGATGGCAGAAAGCATCTGTTCATAATATCTGTATACTGTGTTGCATATGCTTTTAACTTTTTAAAGAATTTTAGTTAATTAACCTATAACGTCAAGTTTCGTTTCACGTGTATTAAAAAGTAATATTTATTATTTATCAGAAAATAATGTGCTAAAGGTTCTCCTTACTAACCATAATGAGTACGGATATTAATATCGACCCACAACAGTTTGATATCAAACAGAAAGCAGGTAAAAGAAAAAATGACTCCAGTGAAAATAATATGGACATTGATACCCACAATGGAATTCAAGGAAAAAGTAAAACTGCTCCTCCGCATTTAAAGAGATTTAGAACGCAGTCTGAATCTAAAGTGGATATGCGAAAAATTTCCGTACCTGCACATCGTTATACGCCTTTGAAAGAAAACTGGTTAAAAATTTTTACACCAATTGTTGAACACTTACAATTACAAATAAGATTTAATTTAAAAACAAGAAATGTAGAAATCCGTGCATGTGAAGCTACTAAAGACATAGGAAATTTACAAAAAGCAGCTGACTTTGTTAAGGTAAACAAACAATTTAATGCAATAAAAGGTAATACATACAGATTATCCCTGTACTTTTACAGGCTTTTGTTTACGGATTTGAAGTAGAAGATGCATTAGCATTATTGCGATTGGATGATTTATTTATGGAAACTTTTGAAATTAAAGATGTAAAAACTCTAAAAGGAGATCATCAATCGCGAGCAATAGGCCGCTTAGCAGGAAAAGGCGGTCGTACAAAGTTTACCATAGAAAATGTTACAAAAACCAGAATTGTTTTGGCAGATAGTCGAATCCATATTTTAGGTAGTTATCAAAATATACAATTGGCCAGAAGGGCTATTTGTAATCTTATAATGGGATCTCCACCATCTAAAGTTTATGGCCAGTTGCGGAACATAGCCACTAAAGTTTCTGAACGCATATAATGCTTTAGACTGTTGATAATTATGAGAAAATATTACTTTGATTTTGTCTCATGATTTTATAAATTTCTAATTCTATATTCTTTGTATGTAGTTATAAAGAATACACATTTTTGGTGCGCAAGATGTATATTTTTATTTTAATAGATGCTTTTTACAGAGAAATTTTGCGCAACTTTGTTGTTTTTGTATTTTTTTCCAATTTATTTTTTGTACTGCTGTAAGACTTAAAATGTCTATTCCCATTAAAAATTTCAAGAATTTTTAATAAGATTTACATTACATAGCAATTATTATCAGAGTTAAAACAAACGTTCTTATAAACTATAATGTATAAATACTTAAGTCTAAAACAAACAATAATAATAAAATCGCCCAACTAAATAATATTGACATTATTTTCAAATAACTTTCATACAATGGCGTAAATAAAAAATTATCTCTATAAAGTTCAGTCCTCTGATTATCGTTTATTAATTAATAATTACATCAGCATTAGCCTGTGAAACCATAGTTGATTATAGGACCGAAGTAATGGAAAAAAAGAAAAAATCAATGACAAAACGGAACATAATTAATTTTCCATTATCCGTTAATTTAAATATTACACAGGTATTTAATATTATTCAAGATATAACAGGAAATAATCTTCTTGTGTGTGACAACGGAAAATCAAATCACTTAAAAGCTTATTATAGCTGCATGCATATGATCATGATAGTTCCTCTGATTTCTTTTATTTATTAATTTTTCGAAATCGTAATGGAAAAATCGTAATTATTTTATCGAATATCACAATCGCTCCTTATCAAACACTATGGTTATTATTTATACACTATATACATTTACGGAAGTGATTATAATTTGATACAAATCAATTTCCTAATTTTGTCAGCCCAAGTGTCACAAGTTCTTTTATTTCGACTTTTTCTCATTTACAAATTGCGAATGTTATGATATTATTATTAGATATGGTT